ATTGCTCCATCAAGGATCGACACAATTCCCTCCGAATAGGTTGATCTTTTACTCCTACCAACGATCCAAACCCCATTTCTACCAGCACATTCAACTGATCATTCTCCTTAAGGTGTTCAATTAATGAATTCACCATTTTTATGATGCACCTTGTAGACACTTCCTACATTTTTTAACAATATATAATGTTATTATTCTTATATATTTTGTATTAATGTATTTACAAGTTTAATGAATACCTTCTTTTCATGTGCTTTTCTCCATTCTTTGTATTATTCACTATCCTTCTTTGCCTGTGCGATGAAAGGTTCCTTCTCAGCATCACTCATCGAATTCCATTTCTCCATCACATCATCTCTCACCTAAAATTAAGCATAAACGTTTCTTAATCATTAACGCTAAATAATACTCAATGTCAAATTCAATTTACATACCGAACCGATGTGTTTGCCATATTCCTTCATCTTTTGGCATTCGGTCATACTGTCAACATTTAAAATTTGTAATCAATTTAAGATTCTTAAATACTTTAATCCAATTACCATTTCAACAATAATAGGAAAAAGACATTGATACTTACTAGAAATACATATATCCACCCTTTGGTTGCTTTCGATCCTCGGCCTCAATTTCAAAGTCATATTTGCCACCAACAATTCCAATATCCTTTGACTTCATTTTTCCTTCATATATCAATTTATGCAAATCAAATCAAATACTGGTTACTTACACTTTATTCAATATACAAATATCGATAACTACTCTTCTGATAAAACGGTTTCCATTAAAGGAATTTGAATGGCTACTACAACAAGTGTCAGCACATTTATACAACATACAATATCATTTTCTACCTATAATATTATAAACAGGCATCCATATTTATTTTCTACCTATAATATTATATAATCGGTCCCAAATCCTTCTTGACTTCGATTATTAATCCTCAAACCAACCCCAAAAACCCTAAACCCTATTTCCTTCAAACGAATGAGAACACTCAATACTCCAAGTATCGACACATTTATACAATCTATAATACCATTTTCTACCTATAATATTTAATAAAAGTATTGATATTTATATTTTACCTAAAATATCACTTTCTACTTGTAATCGGTCTCAAATGCTTCTTTACTTAGAAAACCCCAAAACAACACATAATAACCCTATTTCTGATTACTGTAATAATAAAAAACTAGGGTTTCGACAACGAACTTTTCGATTCGATTGCAGCAACAAACAAACAAACTGAACTTTAGAAACGCCTTCTGAAATGCAACAACAAACAAACAAACTACATTTTAGAAACGCATTCGATAAAAAACTCGTCCGTCCATGTTCTGAAATGCCCTTTATATTTTCACCAGATATGTTATTTATATTTAATCGATACAATAACCCCAGTATCAATACATTTTTTTAAAGTATCGACACTTTATAGGCGCTATTACTGCTTGTCTTTTAAATTCCAAAAGTGTCAATACTTATAATAAAGTTTTGACACTTTCAACATATCCGGTGGCGCTTTACCGATTTTTTCATTTTGAAACCGGTTTTATCATATTTTTACTTGTTATATTGTCAAGTGTCGATACATTTTTTTTAAAGTATCGACAATTTTTAGGCGCTATTACTTCTTGTCTTTTAAATTCCAAAAGTGTCGATACTTATAATAAAGTATCGACACTATTAACATATCTTGTGGCGCTTTACCGGTTTTGTCATTTTGAGACCGGTTTTATCATATTTTTACATGTTATATTGTTAAGTGTCGATACATTTTTTAAAAGTATCGACGCTTTATAGGCGCTATGACTGCTTGTCTTTTAAATTCCAAAAGTGTCGACACTTATAATAAAGTATCGACACTTTCAACATATCCGGTAGCTCTTTATCGGTTTGTCATTTTGAGACCGATTTTATCATATTTTTACCTGTTATATTGTTAAGTGTCGATACATTTTTTTAAAGTGTCGACACTTTATAGGCGCTATGATTGCTTGTCTTTTAAATTCCAAAAGTGTTGATACTTATAATAAAGTATCGACACTTTCAACATATCTGGTAGCGCTTTATCGGTTTGGTCATTTTGAGACCGGTTTTGTCATATTTTTACTTGTTATATTGCTATGGATCAATACATTTTTTATTTGTATCGACACAAACTGACAAGCTAAGTTTGTCAGTTGCCAAATTTTTTAATATTTCTTCATGATTCCACCTACAACATTATTATTGCTCAACATTTCCGGTAACATTAAATCATTTTTTTAAATATCTTTTAATATATTCGATCACACCGTATATTAGTAGTATATTCATTTGTCTTTCCTCGTGAGACAACTCCATACATAGTAGGTTCCTAGAATCCCCTTCATTTGGGTCGGGAACTGCCTCACGCGTCTATCACTTTAATTATCGTCTCCTCTTTCTCTCAACCAACATCCATCATGTAAATTTCAGTCTCTGTTTCGCGTGACTTCTCCACCGAATTTTCTCATTCATTTAATACCCTTTCCCTTCATCCAAACAACTCAGATAATACCCGAGAAAATAATCAGTTTTTTAGGGGTTGCTTCCACCATGACTTTTCCATGGAAGAAAGCCAAATCAACCATTCTCTCCCGGTTGGTTGCCGACCTCCACCGACCCCCCAAAAGCGGCGGAGCCTTCGTGCTGTAGACCGGCTTCCCCACCTCCCTCGTCGATATCATCGTCAAGAACAGCGATCGGTTGAGAAAGTTCCCTAAACGGAAGTCCACGTCCGAGATCCAAAACCCATTTACCCGATCGTTCCCCGTCCCTCCATGCGAAGAAAAGGCACGATCTTCTTCGGTAGACGATTGAGTCCAGGAAGTTGAATCAGAATCCAATTGCGTAAGGAGAGAAAGGAGCGAAGTTAGTCGGAGTGGAAGGTTCAAAAGGCATTTGATTAAGAAATTAGTGCCGAAGAAATTGTGGCATGGAAAGAAGAAAGACGAGGATCAAAGGAGAGCTGATATGCATAAAGGGGATGAGCTCGAACATGAACCACAAGAAGTGAAGATATCAAGAGGTGATCAAGTTTTATGTGTCAAAGAAGAGAAGTTGGAGAGAGGGTCATCAGGGCACTGTCTCAGTGCGATTGTTCTAGCTGGGCTGCTTCTAGGTGGGCGGGGTGCTGCTCTTTTAATTACACTTTTATGGTGCTTGATCCTAACATATGTTAGGAGACTCGGATGTTGAAAAGATATAATCCGGGATTTAAGCAGCGTTCCGCTATTTCGACAACGGCTGTTATATAGAGGTAGTGCTGCAGTCTATAACCACAATAACATCTATTATCTCTCTGTAATCGCGATGAACGCAGTTTAAATCCATTTATCTGTCTGCATCTCAACCTGAAGTTTATAAGATCCATTGATGGTGACAATATTGATAGACATGTAGCTTACGGTGATAATATCGTTGGACATGTAAGTTCCGGTGACAGTTTGAGGATACAGGTGGCATTCGAAGGAGACCATGCTTGATTTGTATGTAGTGAGGATCTTACCAAGCTATAGAATTAGAGCAACGATTTTTGGTTGTAATTTGAAGTGTAAATTTACATTTACGTTTACATGTACAAATTCAGAATCAACCCAAGAGTATTCGTTGGTTCAACTCTGAAATTCAAGTCTCACATTGCAGTCTGCCTTACAAGTATTTCTTTCATTTGAGATTTTATCTGTCATGGAATTCATAAATGGATTACATATGTTCGGGCTAATATTTTGACATTCTATGATAATATGGTAAAAGCAATTAGGGGACAGCGTGTCAAATTTAGGGCCCGCTATGATGATGGGAGTATGTTGAGCAACCATTTAGGGCTCTCCATTTTTTGTATTTATAATTAGGCCCTAATTTGTATAATCTCATAAAAAATTTAGTTTTTGACCCTCTGTTTTCGTTTCTCTTTTAAATTAAATTTAACCAATTTTTTATATTTATAATTAGGACCTCTAATTTTTATAAGTTCATAAAATGTTTAGTTTCTGAACCTCTTTTTTCATTTCTCTTATTTATTCATTTAATTTTGAATTAAATTTAATCATATTTTTTTCTTCAAATCTTACTCTTCAGTTTATAAAATATTATTTAATTTTTAGTTTTCTTTCTGTCTCAATCTAACAATAAAATAATATAATTTTTTTTTATTTCTTTATTATTCAAAATCAAGCCATGTATCATACATGCATTTAAATTTTTTTATATTTATCCCCTTTTTTTAATATAAAGGGAGAAGCTAGGGGAAGGCTTCAGTTCACAGTAGCATCATCACGTAGCAGGAGAGCAATTGCAGAAGATGGATAATCAAACCGGGTCACGCCGAAGGGCTGCTGCCAAGCTGTTTTTGCGATCGCGTTCGCGTTCGCCACTCTATTTCCATTCCGAAGCACATGTGAGAAACGAAGCCACAATCGTCGAGAAAACATTTCAACTAAGTGAGGAACCATATGAGAAACTCCATCCATATCCCTCCCTTGCTGAACAAGGCGAAAAGCCTCCCTGCAGTTCGTCTCCTCCAGAACTTTACGAGCATCTAACTGCCAAGCTTGTTTCAGGTCTTCATAGATACCCAAAGTTTCGCATCCAAGACCGAGCAAGACCCAAGAGTTTTGGAAAAACCGGAGACCCATTGCCCATACGAATCACGAATAAATCCACCACAAGCTGCAAGACCCGTAGATGGGTTTCGAGAGCCGTCGACATTCATTTTCAACCAACCAGCTGCTGAAGCAGACCGACCGACATCATTCAACCTGTACCGATGGTTCCCACCCATGCGTGTTGTACCACGAGCAGCAGCAAGATTTGCTTATGACAGAATCCGTTGACTACGAGAGAGAATGCTTTCCATTTACCATAGTATAAAATAGCGGTTGAGGCATCATATTTTTTTTTGAGAGTGTGTTTGGATAGAGGATTTAACATTCCCAGCCGTCATATTTTTTTTTTGATTAAGGATACCCATGTTTGATTGGGTAAGATTCTTAAGTGAGGGTAATCTTTCAATATCAATAATAAATGTTGGTGTGTTTATTCCTGGGAATGTTATTCCCACAGGTGTCTTAGGTATTTTTTTATTCCCGTACTAAGGGCTAAAATATAATTCTTTTCTCGTTTGTCTCTGCGATATATTCGTATCTCCATGAGTTTGTCTCTATGAAAAATTCATCGTTTTTTTAGTGAGATTCTCCTGATAAGATTTCTTCTCCATTCCCTTTCTTTTATTTTCCCAACAGTAAAATTCATCGTTTTATGTAAAATCTGAGTTTGTCCTGTTTTCTATTTCGTTCGTATTATATGATTCTATGGCTCCGTTACTAAAAGTTTCTACATTTTTCTTTTTAGCAGTTGCGTTTGATTGGAAAATCGTTCAACACATTCTTCTTCTTCAATTGAGGCACAATTCAGCAGCTGGCGACTGGAACGATTTTCTATATCAGGGAAGCTATTATCCATGGCTACACCAAGCCATCACCAAAATCCAACCAATCCAACCAGAAAAAAGAAAACCCTGAAAAATCCAGAAAGCCAATTTCTATATGAACTCCATTCTTGCTCCAAATCCAAGGACCTCAAAGCAGCAATTTCACCTTATGAGTCTTGCTACACCAAGCGATTTTGAGGAATGGTGGGGGGTGGCATGGGTTGGGATGGATTGGGGAAGGGAAGTGGGTCGTGAGGAAAGGGAATGTTGAGCCGAATGGTCGATGTTGTAGCTGTGGAGACCAGTTGGATTGTGTTGATATCGGTGATGTCGAGACAGAGAAGTTTGCGCTTTCGGTTGCTGGCTTGGCTATGGAGAGGGAGGTTAAGGCTAACTTTAGGGAGTTACAGGTGTGGAAGACATTTGCAATGTTCTTTCGTTTTTTATTTTTATTATCATTTGTGCGATATATAGAATATTGAATGGTTTGTATGATAGATAGAACATTGAATGAATGAAACCTCAATAACAGGTTTGTAGATTACTAGATGTAGACCTTAGTAGGTTGAGACTCTTGGAATTTATTTTGATCAATTTGCTAGTTATAATTTCTTTACATCGCCTGTTGGTATAATTTGTGAAGGCTTGGTGTTCGTAGTTATTGTAATTTGTAGGTTTATTCAAATTCTTCTTTTGCTTTTTGTATTTGTATACATCAATTTTGGATTTAAGAATGTCCACACTATTCTCGCTTGATCTTCCATATACAATCAATCTTTACAAGCTCTATTTTCCAGGCTGCTGGAATACATAAGTAGAAAATTATGCATCCCGTTATAAAGGTTTAAATATATGCAAATGCAACGACTAAAATTTATTTAGAGCATCCTTGGGAATTTGCTTTCGATCATACTTGTGGAAAAAGCTTTTTCGAAATTAATCATTTCTCAACTTTCCTATAACTTGTTAGAAAAGTCTTTTGCTGGCAGACCTTTATGCATGTTGTGACAAGTTTCTTTCCTTGCTTATTAATGTAGAGGCAAAGAATAAAAACTTTATAATCAGTCAAGCATAACAGATGTGAACCTATAAATTATACACTGCTTGAAGAACCAGACAATGTCAGAAGATAAATGAGGCATAATTTTGACAAAAACTATATCTTGATATCATTGGACTCCATTTTGCCTAATTCTTACTGTTTTTTATTTTCTGCTTACTTATTATTTTATATATCATTAATACAGGATTGGTTGGAAAAAAATGCCAATTATGAAGCCATAGTGGATGGAGCAAATATTGGGCTCTACCAACAAAATTTTGCAGAGGGTGGATTCAGTGTTCTTCAGGTTGTATATCCAACAGTTGGCTTGTCTACTTTGCATTTATATTGCACTTTATCTTCTGTCTCTCAACTAGTGTTGCTAATTGTTGTGCATTTTTGTAAAATTTGAGATAGAACAGCTCGATGCTGTTGTAAAAGAAATGTATACTAGAAGTGGGAATAAATGGCCACTTGTCATCCTGCATAATAAACGTGTGCGAGCCCTCTTGGGAAATCCTTCCTCTCGAAAGCTAGTTGAAGAATGGATGGCTAATGGTATTCTTTATACAACACCTCATGGTTCCAATGATGAAAAAGGACTGGTTCAGTGCTGAAGAAGTGGAACGCTTTTGTGAGAGGCTCGATTCTCCGACATGTGATTTTCATTAATTTTAGAAATGACATTTTTTATGAGCCTTTTTTTATGTGATCGATTAGCTTAGATGTGAGTGTAGATCAACATCTATGAACTCTTTGTACGAATCTCGTGTCATTTATGGAGCATATTTTTTCAAATGTGAATTATAAGTAATAATTGCCCATTTTACATTGCTGATGAAAAAGAACTGGTTCAATGCTGAAGCAGTGGAGCTCTTTTGCGAGAGGCTTGATTCCTCGACAATGATGAACGTTAGTTTTATGTTTACAATATTAAGATTATATTTCTTGATGAACCTTTATTTATGTGATTGATTATAGTTTAATTGTGGATGTAGATCAACATATATTGATGAAAGAAATAAACGTTAGTTTGGCCTCTGTCGATTTTTGTATGTTCGGAGAGAAATTACAGGTTGAGAAACATAAATTATTGGGTTGCTTGCTTTTCATAATCAAGAGTTAAGTACAAATCAGATTAGGACTGAGTATTAATAATTTTATTAAAACATTAGCAAAGATAATGATGAATGACGGTGAAATATAAAATTATAGAAAATATGATTTTTGTAATATAAATTCATGAGATAAATAATAATGATAAAATATGCAGAATTAAGTATAAATATAAAAGATGAATAAATAAATTAATGTATATAGAAGATATAATAAATAATATATCTTAGATAACAAAAATAATTTACATCTTTTTATTATTATGAATATCTATGAAGAATTTCCACAATGTAAACATTAAGTTAAATGTTGATGTAAAATTTTAATATATTTTTACATAAATTATATAAAATTTAATATTAATTAAAAAATAATACGTTATATATTTAAATATTTAAGAAATATATTATCAACAAATAGAATTTTTATATAAATAATTTTTATTTAAATATTTAGAATTTCACTTGTTAAAAAATACAGAACAAGGACAATTTGATAAAATATACATTCAAGTAATCTTTTATTCCTTCAACCAAACACTGTAATCTTACATTCATGCCAAACTAACCAAACACAGTAATGTAACATTTCCAGTAATCCTATTGTAGACACCCGTTTTTGTCCGGGTCTTTTTTTATATATTATTATTATCGTTATATTATTATTATTACTATTATTATTATTAATTTACAAATATTACACTTTTGCAGGCTTAGAAGCCCAATTCAGATTACAAAGGCCCAATCCCGGAGCCCAACAACCCAGACTGAACCAACCCATCAGATTAGGGTTTCAAACCCTAAAACAGATTAGGGTTTCAAACCCTAAAACAAATTAGGGTTTTAACCCTAATCCCCTAATGGCAGCCGCCGACTTCAACTCCTCAGCTTCCCAGCCGTGAGCCAATCACCGAGCCACCAAGCCGAGATGTCCCGTCGCCGCCGACTGTTCTCCTGCATGAACAGTGACCGGTTCCTGTAAAAACAGTAACCAAATCAAATAACAGTGGCCTAAACTTACCCCAAATCTAAAAAAACCCATTAGAATAACACCCGAAAATCCCGAAAAATCTGGATTTTATTCACCCAAATCAGAGAAATCAAATCCTATCTACCTAGATATCATCATCATCTCACCAGAAATCCACATGCAAGCAAACATAAAAGACCAAAAAAGAGAAAATGGAAGGGGGTCGGTGATAAAAAAAAACAGAGAACATAAAAAAAAGAGGGAAACATCCATTCGAAAAAATAAAAAGAGAGATAGAGTAAGAATCTTACCCTTGTTTTTGACCACCACCGTTGCTTCATCGGAGCCAAGCGTCCCTCACCGAAGGTAAAAAAAACTTGTCTCTTTTCTGGGGCTTGTTGGGTTCGAAATTAAAGGGTTTATCTGGGTATTAGGTCAGTGTAGTGGGTAGATCAAAGGGCATAGAGAACCTTCTCTGGGTTTGGGTTACTCCCCGTGGCCACCGTTCTACGTTGGCCGGGGAGTTAGGGCCTCTGTTTTAGGCGAAGGAAGAAGGAAATATGGGAAGGGAGAGGAATAGCCAAACGGCTGAGGAAATGAGGGGGAGAGCAAATGATTTTAGGGTTTCAGAATAACCCTTAAAAGGGTTATATTCAGACGTCGAGCGACGTCGTTTTGAGGCAAGAGGGAGGCCGAGTGATGGGATTAAGGCTAATAGCCTATTTGGTCCTCTTACCTCTGTAACTTGCACGCGTGTTCTTACATTTATGGTAAATAACAGTTAGGTCCCTCAAGCTTTTGTAAGGGTTGTAATATGGTCACTAAATGAAATCCATGCAATCTTATTTCGAGCCTATAGTTTTTTTGTTTTATTTGAATCACTAGTTTATATATATTATGTTTTATGATCTTTAATTTGGACATGTGATTTATGTTTTTCTTCATTTTGGTCACTGGATTGGTTATTGTTAATATTTTTTAAAGTTTAGACATTGTACTCTTTATTTATGAAACTTTTATCTTGATCACTACTCTCATATTTTGGGTTAAATATCGATTAATGTCTGTTTATTTTACTTTCATTATGTTTTAGTCCTTATCTGGTTTATTATTACATTTTTCTTAGAGTTCGAATTTGGCCATATTATTTTAGCATGTTCGTTTTAGTCCCTGTTTAACATTTGGCTTAATTGTGTTTAGTTCTTTATGTTTTTTTCATTTCATTTTGGTCCCCTAATATGATTTATGGTTTTTTTTTTACTGTTTTTAATATTTGTTATTATATTTTAGCCCCTTAAATGTTTTAATATTTATTTTGGTCTGTAATATTTACTAATTTGTATTTTAGCCATTTATGTATGGATGTGCATTTTACTCATTAGATTATTATTATGTTTACTTAATTTAATATAAATCTTGTATTTCCAATCACATTTATTTTCATTATATTTTTATCTATGTAAGAAATATTCGATTATATTTTCAAGAACACGTATGCGTAGAATGGGCGTGGAAAGTACCACTTGGTCGAAGTGGTACGATCCGATACGACATTTTAACGACATAGGGACTTGTAACAAGTCGAGTATATTTACTAATTAATTTATTAAAATGATGTAAGTGTGGTACTTAAGTGACGCTCACTTTATTTTATGTGAATGTAAATTTTAAATTTTCATTTTATATCGATACACGTTTTTAAATAAATGATGAGAATATTCTTTAAAAGATAGAAATAGACGAGTTAATTTTCCCGACGGAGGATTGTTAATCTCGAGATTTCTTTTCAAATTAAAGAATTTTCTCTGATAAAATATTCGAATAAATTAATTAAATCTCAATAAACAAATCATATTTTAGTTTATATTCAATTTGTAATTTCCACCATTTACGACGATGTGTAGCTACACGGTACCAATTTTGGGCGTGTGGGGGTGTTTACCCTTCCCCACACGTAACCGACTCCCGAACCTGTTTTAAATGAATCTTTGGTAACGTAGACCAAATTTTTGTCTTATAAAATTATTTTTCTTAAAATTGTTTTTAAAAACGTTTTTAGGTATTTGACCTACCTAGCCCAAAAGTCGATGGCGACTCTTTTCAATCTTATTCAAATCCATTCAAAATCACCAAATTTTCCAAATTAAAGTCGTAATTGTTTTTTAAAAATAATAAAAAATAGTTTTATAAAAAAAAATGGTTATGACAGCTTGGCGACTCTGCTGGGGACATCTAGAGAGTCAGGCTGTCGGTCGCTTATATATGGTCGTTATGGTGGAAATTATAAGTTCGAATCTTTAGTAAAACTATGATATTTATTGAATTTTTATGTATTATTATCTCTTTTTTTATATACTAACATTTTAATTGTTTTCATTTTTTTTCAGATATTTCTTAGTTCTCGTTGGGTGTTTTTATTTTTATTTTCCCTGTTTTTGAGTCAAAGGTTTGTTGTTTCTCCTCACACACATCACTTTCATTAGCATAACAGCTCTAGACATGAGTTCGATCCAAATTAGTTAGGGTGATTGCTTTACTCTCGTAAGAATTTATTCTTCGTATGAGTTTTAGCAAATAACCCATGGGATACATACCTTATACTTCGTAGGAATTTATTCCTCGTATGGGTATAAGGCAGTGAATCCCCTCGAATTGAACTCGGTCCGTTTGAAACCTGTAATGGGTGAGGATTGAGGGTTTGGTAGCCCAAGGGGGCACTGACATCAAGGACAATTCGAGTTCCTTTTTCCTGTTAGAGCTGAAACCATGCATATAGTGAACCATAGAACGGTCACACTAGGTAGAGTCATACTGAACCTCTGTCCGTCAATAGGTACCCAAAATAGGCGTACACAATGGAGAAACCCTCTAACCTTTTATTTATTTTATTTATTTATTTTGAGTGTGTAGAATAGATTTATTCTTTTAAAGCATGTGAAATAGAATTTAGGTGCAGTGAGAATTTAATTAATTTAGGAGGGTAGAGCATGTTTGGGTAGGACCCTTTTTGAGGAATATTTTCGGGTAGATAATACATAAAATAGATTTATTTCCCGTTTTACTTATCTTTTTATGTTAAATTTATGCAATTGTTTTGACTAACTGTTTCATTTGTTTTGTTTATTTTTGTTTATTTTTTTTATTTTTTTCATACTGCATAGACATATCATTAGAAAAGGCGATTGATCTGTGAGTATCGATAAAGTGGAAAGACTTTCACGATGGAAAGGAGTTTCCTAAACAAAGAAGTGAATCCAGATGTAAGGAACTGGTCCGAAGCCAAGCAGAAAGAGCAGGGAGATAGTCTATCAGGGAACTACGTGTCGGATCTGTCTGATTAGCACCAGCTTCTTTAAAACAGAATGAGCTTCAGGGTTGAAAACCATTTGGGAAAGTTGGAATCTTATGAGAGGCAAGCTTTTCAACAGACTTATGGGGATATATTCATCTGATATACGTGAAGGTAGACCCGGTTCTCATACGAAGCATAATACAGTTTTGGAATTCGGCCTATAGTTGTTTCACATTCAAC